TGATTTCTGTGGGGTTTTTTCTATGAATTTTCATAAATGCACAGACTTCTAAATATATATATATATATAGTTGGGCACTGTGGTACTCTAATTCAGTCCCAGAAATAATTTTGCCTCATTTATTGTGATAAAAGTAAGCCTTTTTGTGATGATATACATTAAAATAATAAATTTAGTTACATTGTAGCCTTGTACATAGGGTATTTTCCTTTTAAAAATGTAATGTCCCCTGATACTTACCTTAATGTAGCCATTTAACCTAATCATTATCTTGTTCCATATTTTATAAGCTTGTAAACTTCAGTTATTTAAAATATTCATTGCAATAAAATGTGTCATTCTGTACATACGTATTCAATCAAAAATGTTTAAGTAATAAAAATTATTCTTTCTATAATCTGTTGTTTTAAAAACATTGCTTGTATTTGTTAGGACTCTTGGTGATCGATGGCAGAAATCCATGTCAAGCTTGCCCAAAAGGAATTTACTGCACAACTACTCTACTAGCTTAAAGCAATGGGAGGAGCCTGGGGAGCTCTAAGGTCACAGGGACAGATCCAGTTCCTAGAGTATACTTTAAGTATACTTTACTCCTGGAACATGTAGAGGATTTTCTGTCTCATTGCTTCTCTGTAGGTGTAGGCTGTATTTATTTATTTATTTTTAGAGAGAGAGAGGGATATAAACATTGATGAGAGAAAGCATTGATTGGCCACCTCCTGCATGCCCCCTATTGGGGATTGTGCCCACAACCTGGGCATGTGCCCCAACTGGGAATTGAATCAGTGACCTCTTGGTGTATGGGTTGACATTCAACCATTGAGGCACACTGACCGGGTATGTAGGTGTTGACTTTATTGTTCCCTGATGTAGAGCTACTTCTCCCACAGGCTGGGTCTCAATTCTAGCACCTCTGGACCCCTAGAAGGGCAAAGTCACACTTCCCAGCCGCAATGGTTGTGGTCTGCGAGGTGCAGTCTACCCTAATGCACAGCAGGACTGAGGTAGGAATGGGTTCCCTCAAGTGAAGAATGTCCTTTCCAGAAGAAAGGGGAGAAACACAGACTAAACTATGATTCAGTTCATTTCTAACATCTGGTAGACTAAGAGTTTATATCAGACATGAATTTTAGTCTTTTTCTAGTTTCCTCTGGATATTAGCAATATTTCATTAAACTTATGCTACAAGGGGAGTAAAAATATTATCAAAGGAATCTAAGATGTACATCAACTTTGACTGAGTGTGATTATATATATCAAGTAGCAAGTTCTTGTTGGAATTGAACTATCTTTAGTCTCAATTACAAGTTTTTTCTTATAAAGATCATATTGTCTAGTTTGTCTCGAAATCACATATAATTGATTTTGCCTACATGGCTTTTTTGTGTTCATGTGTGTGCACATACACATGGTACCTGGTGGTAGTGAAGCTGGAAAAACAGAGACAAGTCGCATGGTGGCTGAATCAGCAAATTCTGGCTCTGCCATTTGTTAACTGTCTACTTTGGTACACATATTAGGTTAAGCCCTAGTTTCCTATTAACAATGGAGATAAAAACACATAATCTTTGCTTTTCTCATAAAGTAATGAAAATATGTTAATAAATGTTCTGTCACCAAGATGCCTTGGAATTTTGGAATAAATTCTATTTGTCAATGTGTATTCCTTTAACAGGCTAAAGAATTTGATTTAATTATTTTCATCTATATTTCTTGGTGTTACAAAGTTATACAGCTGTAAGGGATTTTTCCCCCCAAAGGATGTATCAGCAATTCTTAATGTGCATGTCAAAACAATTTGCAAAGCATTTCTACCCTTGTCCCCATTCAAACCTGCTTCTAGTGCTAACAATCCGCTTTAAATAGTAACTCTTAAATGGGTCACCAAGTCACCGTGAGGTTGCCTGATTTAGAATTCACTTTGAGATCTTCCTGAAATCACACCCATGAATATCGCAATGGTTTCCATTATGAAGCCTAATTACTATGTGAAGATTTCATTGCTTTTGTCTTAGCCTCATTGGATGAACTTCAAGCAGTTTGTGATGGTTGGAGCACAGCTTATGCCTCTGCAGAACAGCAGACTGAGCTGAGAAGGTAGAAGGGGCTTCTCCCAGAGAGCTCATTTAAAAGGGTTACCATGTTATCTTTTAGGCATCAGGGAGTCCCTGGTTTGAAACAGGGGGATCACATGATAACACTGTCCTTAAGAAATGTACATCCAGGGGACACACAGTAGATGGATTATAATGATGTCCATCAGAATCACCTGTAGGATTCGTTAAAACAAAGTGTTTCACAAATCCTCAGGTGTTTTCTGGTCTGGGGACTTGACTTTGAGAAACACTGGATTCAGAAACCTGGGGATCACTGGGCAGATTACTAAATAGTATATCTTATCTTTAGATAAAGATACTAAAGAACATGCATCTAGAAAGGAACAGTAGATATGGAGAGGAGGCAGGTGACTTTGTGATCCGTGACTAAGGTATAATTGACTTGATTAAATACCTAAGAAGACTTCCCTCAACTTGATTGATTGGGTGATTACATAATGTTGATGCTATTAGCCAACATAGAGACTCTTGGCGGTGCAGGAGTTGTTTTTTTTGGGGGGGGGAGGGGGGGACACTGAGGTTAAGGTGTCTATGGAGAAAACCAAAAACTAAGTACATGGATTTAGAACTGAGCAAACTCTTGTGTGAATGAATGCACATTAACACTGCATTCACAAAATATAAGCCATACACTCTCGACACAGTCTTCTTAACCCAAAGTCAAATATAGGTTGTTTCATTGTAAATGTCATCAAAATTCAGAGCAGCTGAGAGGTTTTATTAATCGTTTTATACTTTTAAAAAATTTTATCATTTGAAAAAGAGTATCAGAAAAGCATTTATGTTACATAGAAATCAGTAGATGAACACAAACATAGTTCCATTTGGCATACTTATATAACCAGAATATTAATGAAACTATTAATGTTTGTCTTCCCGGAATATTTCTAAAATCGAGTCAACCCATAATCTTTTGAGATTGCTTCTGGTTGGTGTAAGAAAAACAGTGTTTTGTTTTCAGTTTTCTTTCTCTAATATAGGAGATGGATAAATAAAAGCCAAAAGGGAAGAAGGAAACACAGGATATCCTCAATTATTTTACTGGTTGCTGCTACATTTAACATTGATTTTTGTTAAGATATTTAACATGAGCCCTGACAGGTTCGGCTCAGATGTTAGAGCATCAGCCTGTGGAATGAAGGCTCAGGGGTTCGATGCCCAGTCAAGAGCATGTACCTGGGTTGCAGGCTGGACTCCTGGTCAGGGTCATGCCGGAGGCAACCAACTGAGAATGGATATGTCTCTCTCACATCGATGTTTCTCTTTCTCTCTCCTTTCCTCCTTTCCACTCTATCTAAAAATCAATGAAAAAATATCCTCCAGTGAGGATTAACAAAAAAATATATATTTCACATGAGAAAGCAACCATAAATTTTAGAGAAGAAATACTGACACATGTAGTATTTGATTAGATTTTCTTATGTAACTCATTCAATAGTTGTAAAATCAAACGATCAACTCTTAAACGCTGAGGTTCTTACACAGCCACACATAATGATTCAAGCAAGAGATAAACATGGACATAAAGAACTAGGAACCAGGCCAAAGCTAAACGGATGCACAAATAAGTAGTTAGAATGAGAGTCCCGGAAATATAAGCAGAAAACTTGGAAAACAGAGAGGCTGAGCCCCTCACATCTGGCTGATTCCCCAGGTTATGATATTAGACTTTGAAAGAAGTATTGGCTACAACTGATGGAAGAGAAAGGTAAGAGCCTGCCATTGGTGGCTTAAATGGAGCAAATAGTTAGAGAATAGAAATGAAAACTAAACAATGAGACTTCTTAGCCAAGGAAGTCAAACCACCAGGAAAACTGAGGCACGTCACAATGAAGAGTTAAGAGCAAGAGAGTGGGAAAATGTGAAAGAAAACATTATCCGTCAAGATAGAGAGAACAAAGAAATGAAGTCTATTGGAATCCTACTGACAGTGAAAATTTCCAAATAGTCATTTGTCTCTCAGGCAATGCTACTTGAGTTTTTCTTATCACACGGTATATAATTTACTGTCATTTAAGTTCAATCTCTTAGAAAGTGATCTTGTCCTTTTGTTTTTTGATACATGATCTCTTGCCCAGCCAGTGTGGCTCAAAGGGTTGAGTGTTGTCCCATGGATGAGTGGTCCCCGTTCGATTCCCAGTCAGGGCACATGCCCAGGTTTCAGGCTCCATCCCCAGTAGGGGGCGTGCAGGAGGCAGCCGATTGATGTAGCTCTCTCACATGGATGTTTCTATCTCTCCCTTCCTCTCTCTTTAAAAAAATCAATAAAAAACATATTTAAAAAAAATACATGATCTCTCTACAGTTCAAGAGGTAAGCACTATTTGTTGAGGTAAAGCTATCGGCATTTCAAAATCCTCATAAAATTCCATCTCAGAGGGTTGTGAGTATAATCGTGAGAGGCGCACACAATTTTAGGCTGGCTGTTCTTGCATGTGGGGGGTAAGCTAAGGCAGTGATTATGTCCCATTACGGAAAAGAAATTCTTGTCACCTCTTTAATCCTATCTGAAGTATGACATTAAGAATAAACAAATAGCCCTGGCCGGTGTGGCTCAGCGGTTAGAGCTTCGTCCTGCGGTCCTGAGAGACCCGGGTTCGGTTCCCGCTAAGGGCATGTACTTCGGTTGCAGTTTGTCCCCTGCCCTGGTCGGTTGTGCGGGTGGCAGCCACTCGATGTGTCCCTTTCACATCGATGTTTCCCTCTCTCTCTCTCTGTTCCTCTCTCTCCCTCCCACTCTACCTGAACAAAAAATGGAAAAATGTCCTCAGGTGAGGATAAAAAAAAAAAAAAAAGAATAAACAAATAAAAAACTAACACAAACAACAATCAAACAAAACCAGATAATGACCTCTTCAGAGTGAAGAAACCTAAACTATCCTCATCTTTCACTCCGGAGCAGGAGACTACTTCCCAAGCCCAGGTGCTGGTGTTCTTCCTACTGACCATGCTGCTCATCTCTACGAGGAGAGAACGTGCCACAACTTAGCTTAGGTACTACTCGGCGAGGACCTTTTGTGGGTGGTCGCTAAAACCTAAAGGTGAATAATGCTGAGAACGAAGTACATTTCATTAGGAGCCTTCATCTGTGTAGCTGTGTGTTGATCCAACCAATTAATCATACAAATACGGCAGAAACAAAATCTGCGATACCTAAAAATAAAAGAAATTATTAGTAAGAGTCTATTTCCTCTTTATGTGCTTTCCATTACTACTGTTCCTTTCCAGATACGTGTTCTTTAGTATCTTTATCTAAAGATAAGATACACTATTTAGTAATCTGCCCAGTGATCCCCAGGTTCCTGAATCCAGTGTTTCGGAAAAAGTTAGCATCTACAAAGAAAATAATTTAACAGTTGTAGCTGTATGCATAAACATGGCAACCTAAAAAGCAGATATTAGAAGAGATGACTAATATTTTTGTTTTAAGAAACTACAAAAAAACCCCGAATGACTTATTAACTGAATAGGTGAATGTATCTGAAATCTTTAGTGTGTGTGTGTGTGTGTGTGTGTGTGTGTGTGTGTGTGTAGCTTAGAGGTGATAAAATAATTTATAGAACTATTTTAAATAAAATTTGAGCCCTGGTCGGTTTGGCTCAACGGTTAGAGCGTCGGCCTGCGGTCCAGAGAGACCCGGGTTCGGTTCCCGCTAAGGGCATGTACCTCGGTTGCAGTTTGTCCCCGGCCCTGGTCGGTCGTGTGGGTGGCAGCCACTCGATGTGTTCCTTTCATATCGATGTTTCTCTCTCTCTCTCTGTTCCTCTCTCTCTCTCCCACTCTACCTGAACAAAAAATAAAAAGAAAAATAAATAAATAAAATTTGAAAAATCAAACTTTAACATTTGAACTTTAATTAGCAAAAATTCAATAAACCACATGTGCTATGCTTTCTTAGCACACGAGTACACAGATCTCAATATCATGGTGAAAGCAATAAACAGCCCATTTGAAGACTGGATTTCACTGTAATTAGCAAATTTTTGAAATCTCTTGGAGCCATGGAATGCTGTCTTATGCCATTGTTCGTGAGAGTAAAGTTATCATTAAACACTTTCAGGAATAATTTGGATCCTTGTGTTAATTACTAACTAGTCATGCCCTTGGAGAATCAAACTGGGAAACAGGTAGAGAGAAGGAATTATTCTGACTCACCCTCAGTAGCTGGGGCCAGGGAAAAGGTCGAGGTGGGGAATACAGAGTCACAACGGAGGCAGTTATGAAGTTATGAACCAATGTCTGAATTACGTTCTTGCAACTCCCCTGCCCGAGCTTCGAAAACTGCCACTCAGCCCAGAGCCAGCCATCTCAGTCAAGTCAATAACAATTAGTAGCCAAGATTCAATGAAGGGCAGAAGTAATTTATGTGGACGTTCTAACAATGCAAAAGCCCCTCATGATGCTACCAGATGGGGGTATGATTGGGTTGCTAGTGCTCTGGCTTAAAGATTTCTATGATGTTTGTTCTCTGCAATAAATAACTGATGAAAAATATTATTAGGGTGACAAAACAGGCCATTTATCTGTTCTCATGAATTCTACTTTATGGAACCATCAGACAGTACTCACTGATTGAATCAAAATACACTCTCAAACCTGGAACTCTCCTTTATCAGACTTACAATCTATAGTGTGCTACAATTTTTTAAAAAGTTATATAGGTGTTAGAAATAATTATAACGAGAAAGTAAATGACTGTTCTCAATGCAATATAGTTTATTCTAACTTGATTCAGAAAATATGTTGATTTTCCAGATCAAAAGTTATAGAATAAAGGTTTGGATATAAGTTTTAGATTGTAGTTTAAAGTACTTACCTAGCTATTTTAATTTGGTTTATGGTAAATTAACAAAAAAGCTGTTAGTCTATAAAAGAGCATGTTTGGTATTTGCTTGAGCTTCTCCATTTGTGGGTGTTATACTAGAATTTTGCAGATGAAAAGGAGTATATTAAATCAGAAACAATCCCAATGTTGTTGTTTTTTTCATATATTTTCATATCTTTTAATCCAAAGAGAAGTGATTCTTGATAATCCTTGAGCAAGTATTATTAATACACAAATGACCAAAAATTCATACAGTTATAAAAAATAAATTTGGAACTAGAGGATGTTTTTGGAGAACTTCAGCCTCCTAAATTGAGTGGTTATCTAGATTTTGAAGTAGTTAACTTTGGTAAGTTATTACTTTATTGTATAATGTGTTTCTCATTATATTTGTTTACACTGTAGTTTCTTTCTTTTAAAAGCACTTCTTGAAAACACTTTCATTTTTACAAACTGGTAAAAGAACAAAAATTATTATTATAAAAATGATTTGAGTACATGGAAGAGTACTATGGACTAGACAGATTTATAATTTTAATATACTCAGAGTATCTCCCTTGACACTTAGCCTGGAGTTGAAAACATAAATTCATGACTCACCACAAATATTACGTCCCATTTTGACATGGGCATAGCCATCCACTCCCCACGAACTTCCCCATGAGTTCCTCACAATCCAATATGGAGTACTTCCTACAAAACAAAAAATGATAACAAACCCTAAACACTTCCTATTTGTTTGAATTTGTGTTTATTTGAAGTTTATTTCCTGAACAGTGTAGTAGTTTGGAGAAAACAGTGAAAACTGTGATAGAATTCGAAATTAAGCTAGCCACGTAAACTTGAGCTGTACTTAGTGTCACACTCCAATTATTGAAAATTAGGTTTGAATTCATTTTACTTAATACAAAGTGTGCATAAAATGAAAGCACATACACAGTTCAGAGAACTAGGAGAAAAGGAAAAATAATAGTTAGATATGTATGATAAAATAATAGGCGCTCATATTTTCCCAACAATTATCCTAAATATTCCAGATGGAAAATGCACATTTATTAATCAATAAATAATTAATCATCATCTTAACAAGTCAGCCACCAAAATTGATAGGGAGGAACATGGTGGGGTCACTTACACCTGGAAGTGTACTGAAAAATTGTAAAGGTCCTGGGAGGACTTAGACAAAAGAAGACCAAATTTTAACTTGTTAAAGAACAGCAATCATTTGGCAATCACCTTAAGCTGGAGAGCAATCAGTCAAGTCTTATCAGCACTTACCTGTTTTATCAAATCCAGTTATGATAACTGCATGATTTGCTTCTCCACTAGAGCAATGATGCTGTATTATCCCTCCCAGGTAATCCTGCCAGCTCACAGCATCTACTATCCCTACCAAAGGACCAAAGGTAAGAAGTACTTTTGCCATTTCATCTTCTTGGTCACTAGCAAAGGAGAAAACATTTGGTTAAGGAATTTAGTTATTATGGTAACAATATTTTATAAAAATTCTCTCTTCAATCTTTGTATGGATACACACAGGTTTGGTTGCAATTACAAGAGACCTAAACAGTGGAGGCTAAAAGAAGTCTGGGAGATTGGCAGTCCAAGACTACAACAGATATCAAGAACCCAGGCTCCTCTTATGTTATGATTCTGCCATGTGAGGTGTCCATTTCAAGGTCAATTAACGGCCCAATATGGCTGCAGGAACTCCAGCCATTTAACACATATTTCAGACAGCAGGAAGTAGAAAGGAGAGGTACTATATTCCTGTTGAGAAGATTTCCCAGAAGCAACACACACGTTCTGCCTATATCTGCATGGATCTCATTGGCTAGAAGTCAGTCATATGGCTAAACCTAGCTTCAAGGAAGATGGTGAATAGAGTTTGCAATTAGCTGGCATAGCATCCAGCTTTAATACACAAATTATTTTAATAAGGAAACTGGGAAGACTGGATGCATGGAAATATCTCTGCCACACCATGTGAGAATCAAGAGACTTATTAACTTACGTTAGTGATTGTCAAATATAGAAATTATAGGGAAAGGTTACCACAAAGTGGCAAATATATTTATGTGATAGAAGAAATGTTAAGATGCCAGGGGAACTAGTACTAGACTATTAAGACTGCAAAAGACACAGTTATAGCTTTCATATATGGACATCTACTGATAAATCTTATGTTACACAACATTCGGTCTTCATTGATCTTTAAAGTATGTGAGTAAACCATTATTTACATTTTTAAAGGTCAGATTTATGGGTGAAAGGCACTGTAACCAAGTTACTGATATTTCAGGCCATGAAGAAATATTATATTATATATTTTATTGTATTCAGTTAAAAAACATTTTGTAATCCAAATATGATAATCTCTGAGTTAACCAGAACACATCCGCCTCTACTTTTTAAAGAGATTTACTGTAAATACACGATAGCAAAGATTTACTGTAATACATGACACAGGGACAGCCTGAGGGGAGGGGAAGGATCCAGAAAGAGAATTATTTTTCAGAATGCAAGAGGAATTAACATTGTAGGATGGAAGAAACCATTTAGCAATAATCCCTGCTTTGAAGCAGGGCTAAAGAAAAGGTATAAAAGATACAGGAAACTATGAAACTGGGGGACATGTCACAGTCAGGACCAGCAGGCAAATGTTCCATTTTAGCTCCAGAAATAACTAGCATTGTTATCATTTGTCTTTCAGAAAGGTGTTGGGTTTTAGAAGGTTAAAATATAGTCCAAACAGTATCTTTATTTCCATGATTAGCCCCATATAGCACGATCAAAGTGTACAGTGTTAATAATGGATATATTATTAAGCCTTATTCCATGGTTATTCATTTTACAGGATCAGTGAAATCCTATAGTATTTAAAGAATTCTAAATTTTATTGTCATCAAGATTTGGTAATTAGGCAAGTCTTATGTCCACAGACCATTGATGAGTGTGTTGAGTTTCATCTCACCTTCTCTAAAATTCAGTGTGTTATACTGCATTCTGGTTTTTCAGTAAAATTGTTAATGTAGTAGATCACTTCTCTTTTTGTTTATTTAAATAATTCAGCTCCTATTCTAGTTTGAGTTCTGAAATGTCTGTCCTGGTGTCTGATGAACAAAAATGCTGGAAGAAGTCTGGGTAAGAATGGTCATTTTACTTTAAGGTTAGATTATGTTTTTAGAACTCTGTGATTTTTGTTTTTCAGATCTTTTCAGATTCTCCATAAGACTTTATGAAACTTGTGCCTGATAGCTGGGTCCTAGGCTGACATTGTCAAAGAATACTAAAAAAAAACTAAGAATAACCTTAAAAACAGAAGTAGGGGGGAAAGTAGGAGCTCCAGAGTTGGAAAGATGGGCGTTCTCATCTGGCTTCACCAGCTGTGTGACCCTCCTGGGGCAGTGCCTCGTTACGGCAGGTGCTGGGGAAGAATTTCCCACATCTCTGGCCCATACACTGGGCTCCCAGCAAGGAGACTCGGAAGCTCTTTACCTGAAGCCCTTCCTTCTCAAAGAGCCAGGCGATCAGCCCACTGCCCACTCAACCACAGCTGTACCCTCCACTAATCAATCTTGGGAGGTGACGAAAATCAACATGGGTCAGATAACTCTGAAATTCATATTCTACCTTGGCCTCAAGATTTCCTAGCAGGATTAAGTTCCAGCTCACTTTCAGTACTAATTTGCTTAATAAGGAAACCCTGTTTTCCCCTGTTCTGACTCATTTCCCAATCCCTCTACCAAGGGCTCCCAGGCTTACTTCCTATGTGTTCCAAGTGAATTCGGTATTTCCTCTTAAATCTGTTCCTTAGACTTTCATGTCTCGGTGAATGGTAATTCCATTCTTTCAGTCATTCAGGCCAAAAAGCTCTGTGCCATCCTTGACTCTCTTTCTTATTCCCCTTTATCAAATTCCTCAATATTCCCTGTGGGGCTTTATTGTCTGTGAGTGGTATTGCACTATCACCGCTCATGACCAAGACCATTTTTCTAATACTCTGCTCTAAGGTCATTATCTAATAATCTTTCTTACTTCATCTCCTACTAGTCAACTCCATTTTCTCTTCACTACAGTCACCCTGGCGTCCTCATTGTTCTTTAAATATGCCAGACATATTCTGTCTCAGGAGCTTTGTACCTACAGTTCCTTCTGCTTGGAATAGCGTTTCCTTGGATACCTGCATGGTTAAGTTCCCACACGTCTTCAGGTCTTTACTCAATGGCTTCTCCTCAGGGGGTCCTCCCTAGCTACCCAATCTAAGACTGTGTACTCCTCTTCTGTGACCCTGATGTTTCCTCTTCCTCCCTCTCTTGTATGTTGTCCTTTTTAGAAATTATTACATCTAACATACCATACATATTTTCATTTTTGTTGTTGTTGTTGTTGCCTAACTCTATCACTAAAATATAGTCCCAAGAAAGGGTTTCAGTCTGTTTTGTTCAGTGCCCAAACCCCAGAACTTAAAACAGTGTTCATTAACTATTTGAAGGAATGAATGAATGAATGAATGAATTAAAGAAAGGTCTTGCACAGTCTATCACAGCTTAACATTGTATTATCAGAGAGTTTAATGTTCAGTGCAAACAGGAGAATTTTTTAGGAACCTCTTCCTTTTTATCAAAGGCTTGGATAAATCCTGCTTCAGGCCCAATGCCAGTGACCTTTGCTTTCTCTCTCTCTCACTGTCCAACTCAGACTAATGCCTCTTATTCTTTTGCTTCTTCCGTCTCTGTTAGCTACCTATGACAAGGATTCCCTGAATCTTTTTCTAGTGACATTTTGAAAATCTAGTTCCTTCTTGTACACATACTGCACTTATACTCTCAAAGACCTGGGATCTTGGAGAGGCACACTTTCTCATTCTAGAAAGTGTGTTACCTTGACCCTCAGAGGAGATGCTGACCATCGTACTCAGTGACTCCGTACATTTTACTGTAGATCCAGCGAAGAACTGAAGTTTTCTGGTGTATGGTTCCTAGAGTCCCTGAGACAATCTGCCAATCTTCCGACACACTTACTTATTGAGAGGGGTTCCATTTCGTTCAAGGGTCCGATTTCACCCTTGATTCCCTTCACATCCCATGGGCTGACACCACTTGGATGAAGAAATTCTTTTATATTCAGTACCAGTAACTTAGAGGGCAGTCTGTCATCTCATCTGAATTTAATTTAATTTAATTTCTGTGTGTTCTCTGTCTCAAAAGACTGTGCAAAGATCCCTTCATATTTAAAAAAATAAAGCCAGGTTTTGGTTGAGTCTTTCCCTGTCTTCATCATCTCTGGTCCCCTATTTTGCACTATATCAAATAGTGACAATGGTTCTCTTGCTGGCTTTGAGTTTTTCATATAATTTGAAAGCATTTTTTAATGACTGTTTGCCCCTGAACCTGTCTAAAGTTAATGTGCCCTTCAAGTTCTGACACAAATCCTCTCCCTCAGCCTATCATCTACCCCTTACTCCCCTTGTTTAGGTAGGGTGCGCTACAGAACCTATCTCCAGTAGTCTACCCCTACTTGTTTCTTATGTGGAAGCTTCAGTTTATGCTTTTCTTTAAAAAATTTTTTTATTAATATTAGAGAGAGACAGGAAGCGAGAGGGAGAAAGAGATAGAAACATCAATGAGCGAGAACATCAATTGGCTGCCTCCTGCATGCCCCCCCATTGGGAATCGGGCTCACAACCCGGGCTTATACCCTAACTAGGAATCGAACCGGCGACCTCTTGGTGTATGGGCTGATGCTCAACCACTCAGCCACACAGGCCGGGCAGTTTATGCTTTTTTTTATAGTTGATGACTTGAAAATGCAAGGAACATGGAGAGTGTTTAAAAATGCTTCTTGGTGAGCAGACTGCTTGAGATTAGCTGGAGCATCTGTACAAGGCAATTTTCCATTGATTCAACAGGAAGATTGAAATGTACTAATGGTAATTATGACACCTGAATCTGCTAAGAGGAAGATGGTAAATATAAATTATGCTGTTCACTGGATTTAAATGTGTTAATTTAAGCGTGTTATTTCTCTTATAATGACACATTGAAACATAAGTAGATCATAGTTAAGGAATAACATTCATAGTACTCCATGGTGACTGACAATAGTCTGTTTAGTAAAAAGTAGTTTTGAAAACAATTATGAATGTGCAGTGAAGCCTTCAATCAAGTTATTAATTCTGAATAGTCAACGTATCATAAATTGAGAACTAAGAAGAAAAGCACAGTAGAATAAGACAGACATTTACCTGAAGTCATGTGCAGAATAACCTTTGATTGAAAATCCAGAATGTGAATCAGAAAAGTAACGGCACAGGCCAGTCTGTGCTTTAAATGGGTATTCCGAATCTCTCACCAGTTTTACTTGCGTCTAAAAGAAAATAATCACCCAAAGTGTTCTCCATCACACAGTTGTTTTAAAAATCAAACAGAACTTGCTGCAATGTGTCAAAATAAGATTCAACTTGGCCCCTCCTTTCTTGCGTCCATATTCTCTGGGTAATGATGAGATCTTAAATTCAATCTTTACGTTTGTTATGGATATCCTAAGTAATTGGTCATTATCTTTCTTTCTCTTTTATTCTTATCATTCCTGTATCTTCTTTCCTCGGATCCTCTATCGATCTAATAATAAATCTTGCCATCTTTCTTCTGAGATTATAATAGGGCAACTGGTTCTGTGTTAGAAAGTCTGAGAGTCACTTAGCACAGTGGTTCATGCACAGGCAATGGTTAGGGCAAACAATCTTTCTATCTGCTTCTCTCTGCCCTTCATCTGGCCTACGTCACTTACTTTATAGTTACCTATACACACTTCCTTTTCTGAATGTTGGGCTTATGAAAGGGAGAGGACACACAACTCATTGTTGCCCATAATCTAGAGCAGCTTTTAGCATTCAGTGACTCAAATATAGCCGAGGAGTAAGGGAAGGATATTTGAGTTTGGGGAACTGTAGTTTGACAACCTCTTAGAAAACAATAACACCTCACTGGCTGGTTTCACACAAATAATGCCAGATCTAGGACATTGTCAAAGGGTATCTTGGGGACACTGAGGGACACTGACATTGTGGTCCAGTGGATAAAGATGCCCAATGGGAAGCAGAGGACTTAAAGTGCAATTCTGGCTCAGTTACTGATTTGGCAATAGAATCGCACATCTTCATCTATATAAAGAGTTACTAAATCAGCTGATCTCTAATGTCCCTTTTAACCTTAACACTCAGAAATCCTAAGAAAATGTCATCATATAGTCATATGCTCTCCTTTCTGGGTCACTATGTGACATGTATCTGAAAAAAAAAAAAAAAAGAAAAAAAAAGAAAAGCATTTACCTATTCAGAAATGTTCATAAATAAACATAAATAATTTTTGGAAAACATCTCAGGTAAGATTTTCCAACCTTTCATCCTGTGGGTTAACTTGCCTAGAAGCAATTCATTTTGAAATCTGATTAATTCAAGCTTTGGTCATCTAAAGTTCTAAAAACATTATTTAATAAGTAAGAGTAGGTTGTTTGAATTCGGAACACACATTAACTAAGCAAACGAGAAAACAAAGAGTTTCAAAGGCTGAGAAACTAGTCACCTTATTTAGCCAGGTCAAAGCACTGAGAGTGGACCCTCCGTTGCAGCCATAATTATTATACGAACAATCAATGACTTGCTGTGCACTCAGGTCTTCCAAAGGCTCCCCTTTTATTGCATATGCTGATTCCACTGCACCGACCACACTGAAGGCCCAGCATCCTCCACACTGTTTAAAAATAGAAACAAAATAGCATTTATTATAATGTTCAAACCAAGTTGACCAACATTTTTAAAAATCACAAGTTATCAAATCAAGTAAGCAGACCTGGAGGCCTACAAAAAATAAAAAAAATGCCCATCCTCTCGATTTCCGAACTGAACGAAGGAAACCAGAATTCTCTTTTAAGCATCAAAATCCAATAATTAATTACAGGCAAATTTGTAGCATCATGATGGTAAATTAGATAATGCAAGACAAAAACAAATTTTAGAGACTGAGAAAACAGACTGATGGTATTTTAAAAGACTAGTCAGGTCATCGAACAGGTGATGTCTGTTTCTAAAAAGTGCACCAACTTCCACTCCATTGTCCAATCCCTTTGGTTTCTCTCCTGACAATAAGCTGTGTCATCCACCATCTTCACCCCACAGGAGGTCACAAGTTGAGGATGGATGTGTATATGTATCTGATGGCCACAGGAGCTGGAGGAATTACTTTTTTGGCTACCGAGATACCAGCAAGGGCTTATTATTCATGCCCATGAAATGTCCCAATGATAGAAACCCATTCTAGTCATTCCTCTTTCAAATGTTGGCTGGCCAGCTTCTCTACTCTGGGTCTATAACTTCTTTAAATTGGACAAAAGGAAACAAAAGAATAAAAGGGTTGGTCCTGAAAGAGAGGGAGGAGATGGAGCAAATGGAATCAAGGATCACACACAAGAAAAACAGATCCCGGAAGAGGCAGAGGAGAGTGTGGGAATTGGACTAGGGTGGAAATGACCTAATGTTGCAGAGTTAGGCAAAAAAAGAAAGAACGGGTTATCTTTGTGGAGTGAAATTTTGAGCAACTTTATGGCTTTAAGGGGCCTTATTTATGTCTAGATCTCCAGCACCTACGGAAGAGTAAAATATTCCCTAAGGGGCTGGACTACAGAACCTTCATCCACTGAGAAAGGTGAACACAGGTGGCTGACACCATACCTGTAGCTGGCTCTAGTTCACCTACCCTTGGCTTTCCCAGGAGGGCAATGCCTGCTCAAAAATCTCTCTCTAGCATACTCTTTTAATTAAAGATTCCTAATGAAAAGTTCCCCTTTAATACAATGTAGACACTCCCAAGAGGACTGGATTTCAGACTATTTCACACTTGATTATGAATCCAATAACAAAGCAAATGATTTGGGGCTAAAATCTAATTCACAACAATGAACAGAGATTCTGAGCAGTAAAAAGATCACCCTAAATAAATGGTGACTGAGAAATGCTGTGTCCAGAATGCTTGCCATCCTGTCAGATGGGTGCCAGATTTATCAGAGTAAGTTATATAAATGCCTAAGCACTATGTTGTACACCCGAAAGTAATATAATACAGTATGTCCCTGTAATTGGAAAATAAAAAAACAAGGGGAGGTTGAATGACCTGCTGAGGTTTCCACTGCAGATAAATTGAGACTATAGCCACGTGGTTAGGGGATTGACTTTCCTTGGTCAGCTGACATTCCCTGGGCTGCAACTTTTATTACCTCCTAGCTTTTTTTAACGATGTCACTAAGTGTGACACATTTTTTAGTGTTGCACTCTACACTCATTTCTCCCCATAATCCCTTTCGTTTTTACTGCACAGTTTTGCACAGGTGGTGATTTTTAGGAATGAACGTATATGTCACATTATAGCAGATCTGACTGCATTTCCAAGGGACACAGCTAGAAAGTGCATGATCCTTTAGGGGGTGCGGTTTTCCCCTGGAGCTCAAGAGATGAGGCCTGAGAACCCAAGAGACCAGGCTACACTGTCGGGAAGTGTATTCTGTATCGTGTTACTTTTTCAGGTCACTTCCCTTTGAGGAGTCAAGTTTACCTTCTCCAGTCTTCCATCTGCTATTCTACAGAAGGTTGGGTAACTGTGACACAGTCATGGGGAAGCACCCCGAGCCAGTGTGCTGGTGGCAATGGTGACTAGGGAGAGGACACACCAAGGAAGGTTCATCTCAGAAGAAAAGTCGGGCTGGGGCATCGGCCTCCCTTTCCAGCAGGGTCTCACTGCCATTCTGTGAATGATTCAGGTGTGACTTTACCAAGAGGAATGATGGGCTCCATTACAAGTCTGACTGAACTTGACCTCAAAGCTGGCTTCCCATGCTGAGATGATAAAAGCAAGACAAAACAAACAAACAAACAAACAAACTCTAAAACGTACCATCTGCTGGTTCCTCACTTGTGTGACAACCTGCTTGTCCCTCCAGTCAAATCTTACTGGCAAAGACCCCTCGGAGAAGGGCCCTGGCAGTTCCGCTGAGTATCGGGGGAATCTGGAAGTGTTGCTTCTTAAATAAATAGCTAAGGAAAAACATGAGATGAAAAGACAGCAATATTAGATTATAGGGAGGACCCCTTGGGGTTCTTTTTGGAGGAACTTTGCAAACAGAAAGAGTAGCTTTCTAGGAGAGCCTGGCATTTGTGATTTTCCTGTGCTTTTCCATAACACAAACGCCAGTCAACTAAAAGCTATAAAAGATAAAGATTCCTACGACAGGGTTGAACTGCCAATACAATGAATTGTTTGAAAGAACCAGGTAATAATAAAAATGAGTATAATTAGTATCATTTGTTTTATCATAACTCAGAGAACCGCAGGCAACTTGGATAGAAATGGCGCAAAAAACTGCAGAAGGGATGAGGCCTTCACTGTCCCTTACAGCCATGTGGCAGTGTCTGTATGTATAACATTTAGTTCTTAAGGAATCATTAGAAGAGTGGCCATGAGTTTATTTTTCTACCAGCACCTGGTACACGCCTCATCCTTAGTTAAGTATTTAAAATGTTAACTATTACTCAATTATCTAGATTCACAATAAAAGAATTCCTCAAAAATTAAGGAAACAAGTTAAAATTAGAAAAACCAATCAACTCATAGTAGTAAAACGACACCATACCTTTAAACTCTTCAGGAAACAAATATGAAAACTGATTTATTCCATAGACGGCAGTGGAATTTTCCCTAGGAAATAAAGAATTCAAGTATCGATGTCTATTAAGACTTTCCTAAAAGAAAAACAAAAAGGTAATTTATATCACCTCGGTTAAATTTCCGAAGCAATTTGTATATAACTCGCTTGGAGCATTCTTCAGATGTAAAAGTCAAACCTTCCTATTTTTGGTGGCAGATCTCAGTGAAAAGTGGTATAAGAAAATGAGATCACATTTAGAAATGTTTTGTGTTAGAACTATTATCTGATTTCAGGTATGTTTTTGGGGCAAGGAAGGTATGTCTTATTTTTTTATTTTTTTTATCCTCACCCAAGGATATTTTTCCATTTTTTGTACAGATAGAGTGGGAGGGGGAGAGGTAGGGAGAGAGAGAGAGAAACATCGACGTGAAGGGACACATCGAGTGGCTGCCACCCGCACGACCAACCAGGGCCGGGGACAAACTGCAACCGAAGTACGTGCCCTTAGCGGGAACCAAACCCGGGTCTCTCAGGACCGCAGGCCGACGCTCTAACCGCTGAGCCAAACTGGCCAGGGCAAGGTATGTCTTATTCATTTGTAATTCGTCTTCACTAAGCACGCTGACAGCACTACATAGATATTCGTTTAACAGAGTGGAAAAAATAAAATAAATTGCAAATAAGCACTACATACTAGTGGAAATTATCTCCAACAGACACTCATGTGATTAAACAATTATGAATTTGGAATGTGTGCCTTCTTTATCCTTGTATTTCCCAGCACTAAGTAATGAAGCATGAGATAGAGAATGAGTAAATAATGAATTAATAAATCTGATTCTATGTGAGCTTTATAGAAGCTCTATCTCTGTTAGGACACAAGGCTTTGTGAGAGATGGACTCTCAGAAAGGTCCAGGAAGATAGGTTGGTTTATTTCTGTGGAGGGAAAACATGACCATTATTTACAGGTTCCTTAGCTTCCGTGATAATTTATCTCAGGCTTGTCTTTTATGTGAACACGCCTCAATTTCCTCATACTACCAACTGTGTAGCATAGATAAAATATTCAAGAGACCACCATTTGGTACATTTCTAACTCTCCCTCTTCTATATTTGTTAATGCACGTATCTGTTTATTGTGTGTCTGTTTCTTAAACCTGTAAGCAAAATGAGGATAAAGCCTGTCTATCATTCATCATTGTGTTCCCCACACCAGCCACATGTCTGGCACACAAAACATGCTTAGTTAATATCTGTTGTTGAATAAATACATAAAGGACATTGTATTTTTTAAAAAAACATTGTTTCCTTTATTGATTTTAGAGAGAAAAGGAGAGGGAGAGAGAGAGAAACATGATGCGAGGGAACATCAATTGGCTGACTCCTGCATGCCTCCCACTGGGGATCCAGCTCATAACCTGGGCATGTGCCCTGACTGGGAATTGAACCGGTGACCTCTTGGTGCATGGATTTACACTCAACCACTGAGCCACACTGGCCGGGCCATAAAGGATATTTAATATTTCATGCCCTTAATAGCTTTAAGCTATTCATGTTTAAGTCACTGGGACTTATCATAATCTTATTTTTCCTTATTGAACATGCCTGGAAGGATTATTAATTAATAAAATAATAAACAGTTATTGGGTTATAAGCATTTATAAATAATCCTGATGAATCAGAGCTCTGAATATAATTTGGAGAGGAGAGGTATAAATACAAAAAAATAGAACTGAGATACAAAGCAACTATGTATACCCGAGTAATAAACAGAAGCCAGAGATGGTTCCTGCGAAGTAATTCTGAGGATTCATTCACTCTGCAAGTCTGGATTGGCCAAGTTTGTGAGCTGAAGTAACCAGGGAAGGCACTGAGAATATAGAATATTGAGAGTGCACAGAGAATGTGGCAGACCTCCATCGACAGGGGGTTTAACTTCTGCACGCTGAGTTACGAGGATGAGACCAGGGAGAATATGGTTCCCACAGGCTGTGCCCAGCCAATAACTGAGCAGTAAGACTGGCCTATTTAGGGGAAACATGGCGCCCCCCCTGAAAGCTGGTTTTTGATTAATGAGTCCCTTATGGCCTCTCCTCCCCAAGAGAGCAATCTAGGGCACTTCCCCCAACCTTCTCTTTCCTTCCCTGGGGTAAGACCATTGCTGCAGTCAGATAGCTCCCCCTGATGCTCTCAGTATTTGCTCTCACAGTCATTGATCTTGTGATAAGGAAAAAAAAGAAAAGAAAAAGAAAGAAGCCACAGATTGTTTTCATAGTAAAATAACAGTATCAGTATACCCAAGAATATTGATTTTCTATTTGCTATCATGGTTGAACACATATCAAGTCAAGTCCACCAAGCGACTTTTCTGGTCTACTTTGATTCTTGCTGTTAAAGCAGATGTCACAGAAGTATCGCAAAATGTGAGTCTATATTGACCTCTGACTCCTCGTCATATTAACAACTTGTCATAGAATCAACAGAGGAAAAGATCAATTACCATATGTTCTTAATATAAGGAATGGAGAATGTAACAGTGACCAACTATAGTAGACATCCCTTAAGCCATATCAAATATTAAAATGAAGAATTTGAACCTTAATTTCATTTATTAAAGACAAGATGTAAAGGTTTTACCATTCCTAAGGTCAGCAGACCTTGCTTAAACAGTAATGTCTTGCATATGTAACAGATCTTAAGAGGATGGTTCTGAAAGCTCAGTTCTTACGTGCTTTTAATTTAGTTCAGGATGAGTTGCCAGATGGGAGGGGGATTGAGGAGCTGGGTGAGCAAGGTAAAGGGATTAAGAAATACAAACTTGCAGCTACAAAATAGTCAGAGGATGTAAAGTACAACATAGGTAATACAGTCAATAATACTATAAGTATACATGGTGTCAGGTGGGAGCAAGACTTCCTTGGGGATCACTTGGTAAGCTATATAAATGTCTACTATGCTATACTCCTGAAACAAATATAATGTTGAATTGCAACTGTATTGAAAATTTAAAAATTAGATAAAAATAAGAAAGAGGTCAAGTTTTGAAAGGTGCAAACACTTGCAAAACAGATGGATCAGATACTAGAAAAATGGTAGCTGACAAATCAAAACAGCCTTTAAACAGATTTAATAATTACATGTTTTTGGTTTTTTTTGTTTTCCTTTGTTTTGACTGAATGTGTTTAATTGAACGAGTTACAATAACACATACCAGATTCCTGTCTAGAAGGAGATTCAGGGCTAAAGAACTGGAGGAAATAGCCTTATGATTACAAAACTAGGAAAAACATGTTTTGACATCAATAAATACTTCATCTTAAAGCTCTCCAATCAACCTTATGTATAAGCTAACGGTCTGTGCCAGAGTTTTAACACTAGGGTAAAATCTAAACATAATTATGAAGCTTTTGCAAAAAAATCTGAAAAACAAAAAACAAAACAAAAAACCAATGAAATGCTTTCCCTTTCTCTAAATTAGTCAGGTGAACTTTTAAGGTAGTGCACGAATCTAAGGAGCCCCAGTTCAGGAAAATCACAAACGGGCAAGATTCTCCCAGCGTGTTCAATGCAGGCTCTTTGCAAAATTCTGACACCAGAAGGTTACTGGCGCCCCCCTTCCGAAAGAAACATGAAAGGCTTCTTCCGCTTATTTCGAGTTCCTGTAACTGTTGAAACCAGACAGCTTTGGAAGCAGCGAGAACCGCCAAGGGGTTCTGCTAAAAGGGGGTGGGGGGTTCTTCTAATCAAGACTACCTTGGACACATCCACTGACTACTTGGGGCGCATCCTATAAATCCACAGCGGCAAAAACCTTGGGGAATCAAATCTCTGGGTGAGCGAAGGCACGGGAGCAAGCGAGACACAGACATGTGGGGGACGCAGGGAAAAGTTGGGGGCGTGTAACCCCAGCTCAGAAACCCCAGCGAGTCACAGAGCTGCGGGCAAGGGGACCCCCAGGAGTCGCAGCGCTCGGTGGCCCCTCTGCTCCAGCCCAGACGCAGGACAGGAAAGGCGAGGAGGAAACACACACAGGGGGGCGCGCGCTCGGTACCCGGAAGGCGGCTGCTTGTCGCTCGCGGCTCCGCGGTCCAGTGGCGATGGAAGTGGCACCGGGACCAGCTCCGCGGCCTGCACCGCGGCACCAGCAGACGCACCAGCAAAACAGCCAGAGCCGACGGAACGCTCGCAGCTCCATGCGCGCGCCCGGGCGCCACCCGCGCGGGTTCCTTTCGGTTCCTGGGCTCCTCCTCCGGGGCTTGGGGGGCGGGAGCAGCGGAGGAGGTGTCGCTCCGGTAGACTGACGTTTGCTTAGTCCCCACTGTGAACTGTTGAGTCTCCCTGCTTTTTTGGGGGGCAAGAAACATTAGGCACATGACCACTTGGTTTCATCTCCCACCTGTTAGAAAAAAGCCTGGGAGTCCTTCTTTATACAGAAAACAGGAACATACAATCTATTGGGTGATGTGCACTTGCAGATTTAAGTCCTTTATTTGTCTTCCTTTCATCCCGAATGGAAAGATGCAGGCAATAGTTGCATTGAACTTGGCCTTAATCCCGTTGTTGCTTCTGCGATGGTCCCTCACGTTCAGAAGCTGAAATCATGTTTGCGAATTTGCACGGAGACATTCCTTCAGCAGGTGTTTGTTTACCAATGCATTACAAAAATGCCCTTTCTTCATTTATTGTATTAATGGTATTTTTTCGAAACTCTCGAAGTCTGTTTCTCCAGTTGCACAGGAAGATAGAAATAGCACCTATTTCTTAAATTTGTGGTGAAATTTAAATAAAGTAAACCCCATAACATACCTTGTATGATGCCTGGCACGTTTTAAGTGCTCAGTGTTATTTATTGATTGATTGATTTTATTTTTAAGGTACCTTCCACCCTTCATTTTATTATTGTTACTCTGCTTTCCACCTGTTCAGCTTAGTTTTAAATATCCCATGTTCGTGCATTCTTGTTGTTTTTATTTTTTTCAAACATTTTCACTTCATATTAACCCAATCCTAGAGAATGGACCACAGAAGGATCAAAAGTAATGTTCAGTTAACATCCCAATCTAGCAGCTTCTCAAGTTAGGGATTTTCTGGTGGAAGGGGAGAAAATCCCCAAGGAAGAGACTGGGTGACTTCAAATATCATTATTACAGGTCCCGGATGACTCTTGAAATAGTTCAGCTGTGTTTCTCAAATTTAAAGTGCACAGGACACCTAAAACTATTTTTTTTTTCTTTATCCTCACCCGAGGACATTTTTCCATTTTTTGTTCAGATAGAGTGGGAGGGAGAGAGAGGAAGAGAGAGAGAAACATCAATGTGAAAGGGACACATGGAGTGGCTGCCACCCACATGACCAACCAGGGCTGGGGACAAACTGCAACCGAAGTACGTGCCCTTAGCGGGAACCGAACCCGGGCCTGCGGTCCGGAGAGACCGGGGTTCGGTTCCCGCTAAGGGCACGTACTTCGGTTGCAGTTTGTCCTCGGCCCTGGTTGGTCGTGCGGGTGGCAGCCACTCGATGTGTCCCTTCACGTCGATGTTTCTCACTCTCTCTCCCTTCCTCTCTCTCCCTCCCATTCTATCTGTACAAAAAATGGAAAAATATCCTCAGGTGAGGATAAAAATAAAAAAAAAAAATAATAAATTTTAAAAAAATGCAGTATATCTGGGCGTTAAAAGTAAAGACTTGGAAGCTTTTATACATGCATGTTTGATGTGCTATATTGCTCTTGGAATAGATGGTGATACAGATTTCATTTAGACAGTAAGTTCACAGATCCATGTTCCTGTCAGCCTCGGTAGTCGTTCTGCACCTAGCTCTTACTTGTAAATCATTCAAGCTAATAATACTTTTTCTTTTTTAAACAGAAATTTGCATTCAGATCACAACTACTGTTTATTGACAACCTACTGGGTCAGATAATTTAATCACAGGCAGTCATCCCTAAGCCGCACAGTAAAAAAGCCATTGAACTAAATTTACTTCCTAAGCTCACATCGACAAATATTTATTGAACACCTATTAAGTGTCAGGTATTTGTTCTATGTAATGAGGATTCATCAGGGCATAAATGACTAAAGAGAGAAAATTTCCAACCTGGTGGAACTGGCATACAGTGAAAAGGATGTGTAGAAAAATTATTAAAAGTGTTACGAGGCAATACAATTGCATAAGGAGAATCAGGAGAGTGAAGGGCTGGGGTTGCAATTTTAAGTAAGGTGTTTGGGGTAGATCTCCCTGAGAAGGAGACAGGTGAGCAAAGACTTGAAGGAGGTGAGAGTGGGGTACTCAGTTGGGGAAGAGAAACTAAGAGAGAAGGAATAGTCAGTGCAAAGGCCTTGAGGTGAAAGCATACCCTGCATGTTCCAGAAATAAGCAAAATAAGTCAGTGTGGATGACGTGGAGAGAAAGCGAGGGAGAAGATAAGTAAAAGGTACGTTGATTATATAGGTCTTTGTAGGTTAACAGTGAATCAAAGTTATTTATTAAATGGTTTTTTTAAGTTTGAAAATATTATCTTGAAAAGTGAAGATCACAAGTATCTGCTTTCAGAATAAACGCTTAATTACATCTATATGAGAAGTGTATGTTTTTTCATGAAATCTGCAAAATACCACACTCCTGTATTGATCCTGTATTAATGACCTATTGCTACATAACAAATGACCCTCAAATTTTGCAGCTGGAAAATACGAACATTTATTATCTCACACCGTTTTGGTGGGGCAGGTTGAGAGAAACCTAGCTCGATGGTTCTGGCTCAGGCTCGGTCATGAGGTTGCGGACAAACAGCTGCAGTCACCTGAAGGCGTCACGGGGTTGGAGGGTTCGATTTCAGGCTCACATGGCCGTTGGCAGGAGTCCTTGGTTCTTCTCAGGCTTTTGGACAAAGGCCTCACTCAGATCCTTACCACCTGGACTCTCCAGAGACCCCTCTTGTGGGATGAACAACACTGCCTTCCTCCGCATGGGAGATTAGAGAGACTGAGAATGGGCAAGGGGTGACTGAGAAGGAAGCAGTGTGTGTTCTACAACCCGGTCTTGAAAGGGACGTCCTATCCCGTCCACTCTCGGTTGCACAGACCCAGCCTAGTCTAACATGGGAGGTGGGGGTTACACAGGTGTGAATACCAGGGACTCCTTGGGTGCATCTGGGAAGCCAGCTATGGCCGACTCATCTTTGACTTGAGACCCCTGATAACAAACATGGTCACTTTTTTTTTTTTTTTTGGTATGAAAATAATCTGGTACTTCATTCATTTTCGCAAATGCTTCTCAACTTCTATGATAATCAAATCATTATTTATTTTCTGTTTCTATCCTGTCATGAGTCTTCTGTGTTTTCTTCCGTTTTGAATCATTTACTTCATTTTAAATGGCTTTGCTAAGGAGTGATTTTATTGTTTTTTAAAAATGTTTTACTCAGTAAATATTCATGCATTTATTATGCTTTACCAAGCATTATGCTAAGCAGTTTACTAATATTACTTTTATTCTGTTCTCACGAAAAATCCTTGCAGTAAATAGTATTATCATTATTGTTGTATAGATAAGGAAACTGAGGCACAGAAAAGTTAAGGTATTCGTTCAAAGCTACCCATTTAGTAATTTATGGATCTAGTATTTGAATAGGTAGAGCCTGGCACTAGTTTCTGCTCTCTCTCTCTCCAGTTCTTCATCATCATTTTTATGTGTTTTGTGAAATTCTGTACCTTCTTAAGATGTGCATTATTAATTCATTATCAAGCAGCACAACTACATGAGATATTGTAAACTTCAAATAAGCAGCTGAAGACTGTCAAATAACTAGAAACAAACTGAGAAAGATGCCAGTGTCAAGATGGGGAAAGTGTTTGAATAGATGTTAATGTTATGGGCTCAGCTCTTTAGCGATTGTTTTTATGATATAGGGAATGGTTCATCCCTGTTCCACCTCCTTGACTGCAGGGTTTCAGGAATAAATACATTGATAAGAAGGAACCTTGGCCATCATCCCTAATCCTCACCGCAACCCTGCAAGGTAGGCATTATTATCCTCACGCTCCCAATGAGGAAACGGACGTGTATAGGAATGTATTCAAGATCCTAAGCAGTAAGCGGCCATGGGGAGATGCGAATTGAGCTGTCAGACTTCGGAGCCCCCCGTGGAGGCTGCTTCTGCTATGCCAGGCTGCCCGAGGCTGCTCCAAGGCACCTGCTGTGCTCGTTGCTTCTTCTTATGTTTATTTTGTGTTGACTTTTCTTTATTAATGTCCCCTTTGTAGTCCACAATGCACTTTCCATGTTCCAAAATAATTTACAGGAAAGCACGACACCGGGCAATATACTTCAGTCATTGTATTACCTCTGAATCGAAAAGGGTTTTTTGTTTTTGTTTTTCCTTTTTAATGTCTCTCCCTATATGATGGGAAGAGGTCTTATACCTCCAAGCAATTAATTAGTTACTGCCAGGGTTGAAAGAGTTGATTGTCTTTGGTCCTGGATTATAGGCTGAACATTTTACTAATGCCCTCCCCTTTGGTTATTGTTGATTGGGCTCACAGAGTCATCGTGATCGTCCTTAACCTCTTGTATTGGCAACATTTCATAGGGACCACATGAATTCTGAGCATAAAGATGTATTACATAAATTTCTAGGTCCGAGACTTTCAAATTTCCCTTCTGGCCAAAGAGGAAAAGTGCTGTCTGAACAGCCGCTGCTAATGGGCAGGATTTGTCAGGCTTTGGCAATAGCTTATTCCAGTTTTTCAGCTGGAGGGGAAAAGCTGTAACAGAGGCTGCCAGAAATGCAGGAGAACAAAGGAGACAGGGCTACTCCACTGACCTGCTTCTCACGAGGAGGGAAAACACCATTGCACTTGGGACCCGTGTCATCTTATCAGCAAATATCACCCCCAATACATTTAGAAAATAAACATTTTTAGAAAAGCCATAATGTGTACCTTCTTACTCCAAACAGTTAATAGAACCAAGTGCTCCTAGAAACACCTGAAACCATGCGTGGTTTCCATGGAAACCTCAATCCATTTCTGTTCTCCTGACATTTGAATAAATGTGAACAGAGGCACTGTTAGATCTGCTGTGGAGACAGAGCTAATAGGTTTATCTTAGAAGCATTAACTCCTCTTAACAAAACTGCCAGTTGACAGACACAGACTATTCCATAGTCCTAGGTATTTCAGAAAAATCTGAGATTGAAAGGT